GTTGACAGGGCCTGGGGTCATTAAGCTTTCCTGCAGCCGTGAGCATGGGGACTGAACACTGGATTAGTGTCCTTGTAACTAGAGCACCATAGAGCTTGCTTCTGCGCTCTCTCCACCACACATTGAGAAGACAGAAATCTACAAATCAGAAAAAGCCCTCACTAGCTGGGGCCTGGGATATCCAGTGTCCAGGACAGTGAAAAGTGGCTGTGGGCTGTGCGAGCCACCCAGCCTGACATTTCCCCATAGCAGCACACTACTGGTCAAGCAGGAAACCTTGGGCTGGGAGAGGAGGAAGTTGGCAGAGCCTTCAGACCTGCTAGAACTTTCAGACACATGCTGTTAGCTGGCTGGATGATGATGACTGTCATAGGAAACAAAATCATATATATAAAAATATATATATATATATATTTATTATATATATAAAGTACCATAGTAGTTTTGAAGAAGTACCAAGTAGAATTTCTAGAATTTATAGATATAATGACGACAACAACTTGGAGCACAGGTTTGACAGCAGATTAGACACAGCTGAACAGGTAGTTAGTGAACTGGAGAGCACAGTCCAAAAGGCTCTCTAGCTGATGGACTTGGTGACGTTCACCTCACTGTTCAGAGGGCTGAGCTGTTTGTAAACACTTAATACGTCTCCCCAGTTGTGTGAAGAAGATTTCTAAGTACAGTTTCCAGAAGTCTAGGCCAATGCGAAGTTCTCAGGCTGCTGGTTAGGGAGGGAAGTGGTTAACTGCTCTGGAGGGGAAATATTAATTAAAATCCAGAGTGCACACACACTTGGATTTAGTCATTCACTTCTTATTATTTATTCTACATCTGCCCCAGGTTTATGCCAAGGTGATGCCCAAAGGTGTTCATTGCAGCATTGTTTACATTGAAGAAAACCAAATATAAGCAAAAATGTCTCTTGGTGCCCTGTTTAAAGAATCGTGGTATATCTCAACAATAGAACGTAGAAGTTAAGAACAAGGAAAGTCTGTGTGTGCTGACTGGGATGCCATGGACACTGGACGTGCAGCTAGCTGCAAGGCACCTCCTGGGGAAACAGGGAGGGAAACGGGTGTGCGTGGGTTTAGCCAGAATCAAGGGTGGCTTCCAAGGCATCCTGCTGGGACGGAGTTGTGTCCCTCCTGCCTTGCCTCCCAAATTAATGTGTTGAGGTCCCAGCCTCCCAATGAGACGGGGCACATGTTGGTTGTCGGGGCCTGAGGTGTACCTGAGGTCGTGAGCATGGGACCAAATGACTGGATCATGGATGTGGGCTACAGGCACGGAGACAGCTCTGAGGGCGCAAAGGGATGCTCGTACCTGGCTGTGTCTGGGGAGGGAACTCTGGGCTTGGAGCCTAGGACTTGGGCAGAGTGACACTTTGTTGAATCCACTGAAATAGGCTTGGCAGGGCAAGGTGCTCTTGGAAGAAGAGAGAGCCAGGGCCCAGGGGCAGGGTGGGTTGGAAGCAGCACATAGGACTCTTCAGAGCACTGCTACAGTCTGAATCTTGAATGTGCCCCAAAGATGTACGTGTCAAGGGCTCAGTGGCCAGGTTGGGGCACTCTTGGGAGGCAGGGGAACCTTTAGGAGGTGGGGCCTGGTGGGAGAATGTTAGGTTATTGGGGACGTGCCCTGTAGAGGGTTTGGGGACTCTCACTTCTCAACTATCAGGAGGTGAGCACCTCCTGCGCCATACGTGCGCCATCATGTCTGCCTCACCATGGGCCCAAGAGACAGTGGGCCCCTGACCATGCACTGAACCTCTGAAGCCAGGAGCCAGAGTCAGTCTCTTCTCTCCATCAGTGGAGTATTTGTCACAGTGATGAAACCCCCAACACATAGACACTTATTTTTTTTTCATTTAAAAAATATCATGGATACTCTGGGAAGTGCAAGGGTTTTTTTTTTGTTGTTGTTGTTGTTTTGTTTTGTTTTTGTGTTTCTTTCCACTCTTTGTGCACATAAGTGTCTGCTTTTATCTGTACCTTTTCACTTAATTGCATTTACCTTCCCCTATACATTACAAGTAATCTTGATACGTATTACTTTATGAGCTCCTGAGTAAAGTTTCCACTGATTAGACACTATTTATGTCACCAGTCTGTCCGCCTTTATTGACTACAGGTTTCTTTACACTCCTCACCCGTCTGAGTGTACACAGCATTTCCTTTTTTTTTTTTCAGTGCTAGAGATTGAGCCCAGGGCTTCACATACACCAGCAGGCAAGGGCTCTGTCACTGAGCTACACCCTCCGTCATAGCATTTCCGCTTTTAAAACAGATGTCCTTAGTTAGAGTCCCCAGAAATGTGACTTATATCATATTTTTTAAAGGCCATAGGAGTTTGCTAAGTTAAACTTGAGGAAGAGTTTGCCGTGGACCTTGTGAGAATGGGGAACAGGCTCTGGGCACAGGATCACTGAAGCAGAATGAATATGACCCTCGCTGAGCGGAGCAGGTGAAAAGGAGAAAACATTCTCGAGGAAATTACAGAGGACACAGGTGAAAGGAAAGACATCTGGGTTTGTGGTCTGGAAATCCCCCGCCCCCAAAATATAAAAATCCATTGTAAACAGGTGAATTCCCCAAGGGATGCCAAATAAATGAAATGATCTTGAAAAAGAAGATCAAAGCTGGAGGATCGTGTGCCCTGCTTTCAAAATTTATTACAAAATTACAGTGGTCAAAAGAAGTGTGTAACTGGCGCAAAGATGGACATGTCGATGGGTGGGATAGAGTGGAGAGGTCAGAGACAAACCCTGGCCTGTGGTTCCCAGGAGCCAGGGACCCTCAGTGGCAGAAGGTCACCCCAGCAAACAGTGCCGGGAAAGTGGGACCCGTGTGCACGAGTACGGAGTTGTACTGTTTCCTTATTCCAAAGGCAAACGTCAACACAAAATGGATTAAACATCGACGTGTAAGACTTGGAACTACTGAGAGGAGGGCATCGAGGAAAAACTTCAGGATGTTGGGTTTGGCAGTTGTTTCTTGGATGTGATGCCAAAAAACACAGGCAGCAGAAACAGAACTAGAGGGGCCCCATGTCACTGTACAGCCTGTGTGCACTGCAGGGCACACTAGCGAGTGAGGGGGCAGCCCCCAGAGTGGGAGGGGACAGTCACCAGCATGGTCTGATGGGGAGTTGGTGTCCAGTATGTGCAAAGATTCCTGCAACTCAACAGCCACAAAAAGTAAACCCGGTTTTAAAATGGGCTGGAATGAGCTCTGTCTCTCTAAAGATCTCATAGAAATGAATGTCCAGCCAGCATATGAAAAGAGGTTCAGCCAGTCTTTAGGGGAATGCAGTCTAGTCTGTGAAGAGGCACTCCTCACCTCCATCCCACTGGACGCCTGAAGGGGAGAAGGTGTGGGCCAGGATGTGGGGAAACAAAGCCCGCTGCCCTCAAGGGATTGCACAGCTCTGCAGCTGCTGGGGAGAATCACAGGCCCGTTCCTCAAACCATCAAATTCAGAAAATTGCTCCCTGACCCCAGTGCCATCTCTGAGTGCATTCCCACGAGGTCTGAGAGGGGAAGGGGGAGATGCTTTCCCTCCCTAGGGCAGCATCCCGCAAGGTAGCCAGGAGGCAGAAGCCGCCCAGCATCTGTGGCCAGAAGAATGGCTGAGCCCCGAGTGGCCCACGCACACAGGGGTTTTACTCAGACTCACGAGGTCATTAAGCTGCGTGACATAGACCAGTCACAGAGGACAGACTCTGATTCTACTTATGTAGAGCCTCTGGACGACTCAAATTCACACAGACGAGAGAGCGGGGGTTGCCGGGACTGAGGGAGGTGGCCGGTCATTGTTGAACAGGGACAGAGTTTTAGTTTCTGAAGATGAAAACGTTCTGGAGATCAGTAAAGTGCCTGCCTAACTCTACTGAACTGTACACTTAAGATGAAAAAGATGGTGGATTTTATGTCACATACTTTTTTTTACTATGATTTTTTAAAAAGTAAAAACAAACCCGGAGATAGAAGCCTCACTTCTGAGCCAGAGAGAAGGTGAGCATTGTGGGAGAGCTTGCTTCCTGCCTGGCAGGCGTCCGCGGGACAGCGGCAGCTCACAGGTTGCACAGAACCAGTCAGAGGCGGCGTCCCAAGGAAATGTGCAGGCTCAGGCCCAAGGTCGGGACCTTTGCTTCCTGTGAAGACTCTTGTCATCGTCCCCTCTGATTTAGGAGGACAACTGTGGGCATGAATTGAAGACGTGTGTCCCCAGTTTTCTTGGATGGCGCCATATGGGGGCCCCTTGGGAGCAAAGATGGCAGAGGAGGGAGGGTCATGGCCACGGCACCTGTGACAACCCACAGGGGGAGGGATGACCCAGGTGGGCTGGGACCCCGTGTGTCATGTGGCTGAAGTCTCTGGGCTTCTTGGGAGAGGAGAAATGGGAGCAAAGCAGAACTGCCAAGCCAGGAGGTCTGAGCAAACATGCCCGCTTCCCCAGGACCCGTGACTTGCCCCCGGTGGCCCACAGCCTCTGGATTAGAGTGGGTCAGAGAATGAAAACCGGGTGGGTGCTTGGAATAAAAGTGGACTTGTAGGTGACCAGAGGAAATCCCTGCTCCTGCTAACATCCAGATGTCCTCAGGGCTGTCTCCCCCGCATGCCTGCCCAACCCCTGCTCTGAGATTCCCTGGTCACTGTAACCAAAGGGACTGCCCACCTTGACTATGGCCCAGAAGCTGGGTATTGGCCTTGCTCTTTTCCCTGAAGTTCGTTTGCCATCAGTAAAGGAGGTGGGCACTGAGCTGGCCTGGGAGTGCACTGTTCTAATGGGGGCCTGGGTGCAGGGCACCTTGATTCTGGGACTCTGCCTTGAGTATAAAAGGCTCAGCCAGGTGTGCATTGCACCTGTTTTTTGTTGTAGGACATTAAATTGGAGCCTGGGGACACACAGCATTAAGAGGCACTGTGTCCTCCCTCTACAAACCCTGCCAGGCTTCCCAGGTCCTATCAGCTCTGGCCTGTGGTCACCCAGGCCTGGCTGGGCGTGTCTAGCCTCCAGCACTGACAGCCCTCAGGCCCCTTGGTGCACTGCTTGTCCACACCTGCCCAGCCCATACCTGCCCACTGAACCTTGAACCTGCCTGGCCAGTACCTGTCGTTTGATAATACTGGCCCGCCCCTTTCCTGCCGGCCCCCAGGACAGGTCCTTCCTGCTGCCCAGTCAGTGGCTCCTGCAGGTTGCAGGACCAGGCAGGCGGGAGCAGCTCCCCAGGACCAGGCAGGCGGGAGCAGCACCCAGAAGATGCGCCCTGTGGCTGCTGGTGAGTGCGACCCCACCTCTGCCTCTGAGTGTGTGGGAGGGAAGGGATCCAGAGCAGGGGAGTCACCTGTTGCCCCTTCTGGATGTGCCACACTGAGACAGAAGGGTGGGGCTGGGGCACCGTCTCCTGTTAGACCCAGATCAGAATTAGGGTCTCAGTGTCAAAGGGGCTGAGGTTTCCGAGGGGCTGGGCTGGATTCTCCAACCTGCGGCTCTTGCCAGCTCCTGCCACTCTGCTGGGGCTGGTGCTGGTGAGCGCACACCTTATCCAGGGCAGGCAGGCGGCACACTGCAGCCGCCAAGAGTGAGTGCCTTCGGGTGGGGGCTGGGGTGCCCCACCTTAGGAAGAGCTGGCTCCCCACTGGTTGGGGCTCCTGGGGACTCCCCCGGGCAGGAGCCACCTTTCAAACTGAGCAGCCCAGGGATTGTGGAAAGTGCAGGGGACCCTCAGGAGCCTTTCTGGCAGGAGGGGGCTGAGGGTGGCATGAGAAGTAAATGCCTGGCCCTGGCTGATTGTGACAGTCCCCATGGCATTTCAGTTTTTTAAATAGGGCTGTCTTTAGTTTGCTCTTTGTCAAATTCTTGGCGCTACAGAGATTTAGAAAGATAGCCAGGGGGAGGGGCACCCACTGTCTCCACCAGCCACTCTGTGGCTCAGAGCAGAGGGGTCTCACAGCTGCTGCCCACTGGTTGTCCCCCGAGGCTCACCTGCCCTTCTAGTGGGTTTAGCTATTGTTCTCTTGCTACCAGAGGAGGAAGCCGATTCCTCCAGGGGAGAGAGAACAGGGCACAGCCCTGTGCAAACATGGGCAGCTCAGAAGGGCAAGCTCTGAGCTTCCCTTGGGGGGTCACCTCCCTACCTCTGAGTCCGTCTCTGCATGAGGGTGACCCTCCCAGCACCAGTGTCCACTCCAGAAAGCCCTCAGCACAGCCTACATCCCCGAATGTAGGAAAACCACACTTTAAGGTTTTGCCTTCTTGTGGAAAGTTATTTTCTTAAAAAAAAAAAAAACCAAACTGTTTATGGGTGAACAATGCTGCTTTTGCTGACTGCTGTGAATTGTGGGACAAAATGGTGGTGACACGTGCATGCGTGTTCCTGTATAAGGTCACACAGCGTGATGCTGCCTAGTGAGTCAGAGTCACAGTTAGAGGTCTATGATGTTTGCATAACAGTAAGATCCCCAGAGACCCGCTGCTCCTCAGAACGTGTCCTGTTGGTCAGTGATGGACTGACGCATCTGCAGCGCCCCCCTTGGGCACTGACCGCATTGCAGCTGTCGGAAGAGCGTCTCCATCCTTTCTGGGTCTTGGGATTCCCTCACCTTCCACTTCTTCACACCCAGCCCTCCTGACTCATTTGTGAGCCATGTGATCCCTTCACACAAAGCTCCCAGGGACACCAGGGTTGTCCTCATCTGGGCGTGTGGCAGTGAGAACAGTCACTCTGAGAAGCTCAGATCACATCACTGTTGTGAACTGAGAATTAGATAAGGATCTCTGAGGCTCCTGGAACGCGTTCCCGGGACACTGCCACCAGCCGGTGGTGGCGGCATAATCACATGAGGAGAGGGGGGTCCTGGTTACAGAGTCCAGGAGGGCTCCAGGACTCAGCACTTCCGCCCCATCTGCTGGGGCCCTTCCCACCAGGGTAGTACCTGGTCTACAGAGCAGCCTCTCAGAGGCCCGGCCTCCCACCTACCCGGAGGCACTGTGCTCAGTTTAGGTCCCGACCTTCATCCTGACAGGCTGCTTCCGGTCCTTCCCATTCTGCTGTCACCCACGGACGGACCTCCTGTCCAGTCCACAGAGAGCCTAGGCCACAGCCTGCCTGATGCCGGGCTAATGCTGGGTTAGGGGCTTTGGCTTCCACCCAAAGTCCTGTGCTAAAGCCCTAACCTCACGATGGGACTGTGTTTTGGAAACGCGGCCTTCATGAGGTCATTAAGTTAAAATCAGGTCCTTAGGGTGGGCTCCAGTCCAATATGACTGGTGTCTGGTAAGAAGAGGAGATCAGGACCCACACAGTGGGATGACCCCGTGAGGACCAGCAGAACACGCCATCTGTGATCAAGGAGTGGCCCTGGAGGAACAGTCTTTTGACACCTGATCTGGGACCTCTAGCCCTCACAATCCTGAGGAAATGCCCCCCAGCCTGTGGCACTCCTAAGGCAGCCCTGGGGAACACACCCAAGCTGCCTGGTCTCATCCACCCTGGGCTGGCTCCTTGGTCCTGTCCTCCTGGTGGCTGGGACACTTCTGTGCCTTTGTGGTAGAGCCAGTCTCAGCCCGGTGTGTGCCCACCTTCTGAAGGTGGACAATTCCAGTGGGTGCTATTAGGTCTACTCTCCCACCCTAGAGGTGGTCCTGGCTCTAGGTCTCGCTTTCTGCCATCAGCCACTCGTTATCACAGGAAGCTAGACTGTCCCCAGCCTGGAGGCCACCAGCGGCGCTCTTCAACCACAACACAATTTATACCTTCCTAGTGATTCTGCTGGTTACTGGTGGCAGTCCTGCTCCCCACAGGTTGAAGTACAACATTAGGGAAGCAGGCCGAGGAAGCACATAAAGCAGGGCTTATTTAAGGGGGTAACGTGGACTTCTCCCGGGAGGGAGGAGGGGGCCACCTGGTATCCCAAGAGGCGAGGTGTTCCGCCTTTTTCTAAGTCCTAGGCTTCCTGTGTTCTCCTGCCCTCTTCCCCTTTCTCTCTCCTTCCTGTGGACGTGACTAGGCCCAGGAATGCTCCGTGGGATGGCCAAAGGTGGGAGCCAGGTGGGCTGAAGGGGGAAGGGCAGGTGGAGCAGCCCAGGACACACCATTAACTACCTGTGGCTCCCAGTGGGGAGGGGCAACTCCTGGGGCAGGTTACCTTGGCAACAGGTTGGGGCAGGGCAGGTTCTTGATACTGTGAAGACGTTAGCATCTCAGTCCCTCCTTCTCTGGGTCTGACCCCCGCTGTCTGCCTGTCTGATTCCGGCCTCACTGGGAACGCTGAGAAATGTCCGGGGAGGACGCTCACAGACGACCTTTTCAAGGTGTCAAATTCGCACTGTGAGGATTGGCTCTCCTTTCTGTCACATCCACCTGTGTGTCCTTGTCCACTAGGACCAGATTGTACCTCCATTCCAGGCAGTGCTTGGTGTCCTCCGTGGGGAGGGGACGCTGTCTCCTCCAAGCTCTGAACAGCTCATGGTGCAAGAGGCTGTGGGATAGGGTCCAGAAGACCCTCTGAAGGTTGTTTAGTGCCAGTTGTCTTCTCAGCCACTTGGATAAAATCGGCCAGCTGTGACCTATTGCTATCTTTGGACATGTCCTGCACCTGTCCATGCACACGGTCCACCCAAAAGAACTTTCAAGAACATCCTGCCATTTAGTTCCCAGGGTGCCACCAGGCTCAGCCACAGGCGGCATGGAGGGAGTGTTCTGCAGGCCAAGGGGTGAGGACTGCAGAGCATTTGGGGACAGTGATGTGCCCACAGTGACTGGCTCTGGGGAGGTGCAAGGGAGGGCCTGCCAAGCCCTCAGCCTCATCTTGTTTTCCGTGGCTGCTTCTGGCTTTGAGATGTCCCTTCATCCCCAGCAAAGACATGGCCATGCTACAGCCTTTCCCAACAAAAGCCAGCCCTGCACATGGTCCCAATAATCTTGGAGACTGTGGTTTGAAAACAGAAAAGGAGTTGGCACTGAAAGGCCTACTGGAAAGCAAAACCCCAAGGGGCTCCGGGCGCGTCAGTCCTTCAGCATGGCTCCCTGGGAGCTTGGACTCCTGCCACAGGGTCCTTGCAGGATGAACGGGCCTCTGAGTGCTAAGGGAAGGGTCTGGGACCACAGCCGGGCCCTGGAGAGTGGAACCTGGGCCCACTGCAGGGCTAATGATAGCGGGTCAGGAGGGTTCAGCTCCCGTGGGGAGAGGGTTGGTGCAGGAGGGAGCCAGGGGCTGCTATGCTAGAGGCTCAACATTGAACTCAGCTTCCAGGGCTGGACACTCACAGGGCTGAGGACGTGTGCTGGCCCAGACAGTGAGGAGCCTCGTCTCTGCTCGAGGCTCTGGGTGGGGAGAAACAGCTCCTGTGAGTCTGGGGACCTCCGCTCTCCCGGCTGACCAGCTGGGAGTGGGGCCCCCATCCTGTCATGCCCCGCCTGCTCCCTGCTCCCTTTTCCCTCCTGGCCTTGCCCCGTGCTCTTTCTGAGGGCTGCACGGGCTCCGCACTCGGGGAGCAAGGCCTTTCCCTGGGGGTGCCGAGCTCCAGCCACCACTCTTGCAGCAGGGAGAGAGAGCGCCGAGCTCTCCAGCACAGGTGTCTCCAGGGACTTGCTGCTTGGAGACCCTCGGGTGTCCCTGACAATAGGATGCACGTGGGGACTTCTTCCAGCGTCACAGGCCGGCTTCACCTACAGCGTGCGTACCGGTGCCAAGCGTTCTCAGCACAGAGACGTAGCCACAGTCAACAGACCGAGACCTGCCCTCAGAGATTTCAGTGGGCAGGTCTAGGATCTGACTGGTGACTGGGTCTGCCTTGGTGGTGCTGGCCCCAGGTGCTCAACGGCCCATCGACCGCAGCAGCCGTGCAGCAACCTGCCCTGGCAACACGGCTCTTGTCTGTTATCTGCTACCTGCATCGAATCCCAGCGCTGCAAGCTGAGGGGTCCTCACCTGTCCACGGCCTCCCCCTCTGAGCACCGCCTTCCCGGAAGTCCCCTTCAGAGCAGGCCGGCTGAGGCCGTGCCTCACGGTCAGGAAGGAAGGCTGTGCAGGCAGAGAGGGCTGGCACCTGCGCCCGGTGCACCCCGTGTCAGTGCTCACCGTCCACCTTTGTTCCAGGTGCTCTCAAGGCTGCCTTCTTGGTCCTTGCCTCCATGTGCGCCTGGTACTCCGGGTACCTGCTGGCAGAGCTCATCCCAGATGCACATCTGTCCAGTGCCGCCTATAACATTCGCAGCCTTGGTGAGAGGCCTGTCCTCAAAGGTGAGTACGTGACCCCAGCTGTTGAGGGGAGCAGGGGAGGGAAGGTTCTGGGGACGGCCACTCCAGCAGTCCCCACGCCACGTGGAGGCAGGTGCCGCTGCTCACTTGCACGGGAGACATGACCAGTTGGCCCCAGCTGCTTAGCCATGATCCCCAAACCATAGCCTGACCTTGAATTATCCTCTGTAGGTAGCAGGTCTCAGCTTCCTCCCAGGGGAAACATAGGAATGTTTTACATTTTCTAAAGAACTGAACTTCTCCAATGCCGTCTTATCGGGTCCCATCTTGGGAGCAGAAGCCAGTCTGTAAATGGAGAGGAAAGAAGTGTGGGGTGCCAAGGAGACACTCTCCATCCATAGACAGGACGGCCCCTCCACAGCCTGGGATGGGTGCAGCCCTCCCTGCCAGTCACTTATGGGACTCAGCCCCACAGCCTGGGCTTTACTAGGCCTGCTGCTCCCCAGGCTCAGCGCAGGGCCAAGAAGTGATGTCAGTAAAGCAAGGGACAGAGCCATGCATATTTCTGAGGGCAGTTTGCAGGTCTGGTGTAAGGCACGGTGTCCTAGTTCATTCCAGTGGCTGTGGGAGGATACCACGAACTGGGTGGTTTGTAGCCCACAGAAATGCCTGTTACACCTCTGGGGGCTGGAAAGGGGGGGTTCAGGAGCATGCAGATGTGGTGTTGGCGACAGCCGTTTCCTGCTCAGCCCCTTATTTTCTGGTACCAATTTTTTTTGCCAGTTCTCGTTCCAGGGCAGATGCTAACTCGGAAGGGAATGCCCGCCCTCACAGGCGTGCACTTGTTAATGCAGCAGGTGTTCATCAGCACCCGCTGCTCCCTGCCGCAGTCTGACACCTGTGTGTTCAAGGTCCACCCTTGAGCTCCAAGGCTCTCAGAGTCAGCGAGGAGAGAGCCCAAAGCTAAGTCACCAGCTCAGGTAGGAGCCTAACAGAGAGACGTCACGTGCAGGGCAGGATGGGCACCTGGAATACAGCTAGAATAGAGGAGCTGATTTCAGGGGCTGGGGCTGGGGCTCAGTGGTAGAGCCCTTGCCTCTCACGTGTGAGGCACTGGGTTCAGTCTTCGCACCACGTAAAAATCAATCAATCAATCAATCTACAACTAAAAAACATTAAAAAAAAAAAAGATGCTTTCACAATTATGTCAGAGGCCCTGTGGAATAAACAGTAGAGTAGTAAGTGGTATCCTTTTAAAAATTTCTACTGGAAGCAGATGCCTATATATATATATCTATATATCTATATATCTATATCTATATCTATATCTATATCTATATCTATATAGTTTGTTTTTGTTTTATTTTCCAACAGTTTCTTTATTTAAAATATTTTACTTTTTTATTCGTTCTTTTTAATTTTATATGACAGAGAAAGTGTTTTGACGTGTCACGTGTACATGTGGTAGTACGTGATGTGGAGTGACACTGGTCGTGTATTCATGTATAAACACGGGGAAGTGATGTTCACTTCATCCTACCATCTTTCCTATTCCCATCTCCCCTCCCTTTCCTTCATTCCCCTTTGTCTGATCCCCACACCACCCCCACTTATTTTGTGTTAGCATTTGCATATCAGAGAGAATATTTGGCCTTTGGTTTTCTGGGATAGGCTTGCTTGTTTCACTTAGCAGGATAGTCTCCAGTTCTATCATTTACCAGCAAATGCCACGATTTTATTCTTGACGGCTGAGTAGTATTCCATTGTTTGTATGTACCACATTTTCATTATTCCTTAGATGTCAGTATATTTTTAAGACAGCCCATAAAGTATAACAAATTAACTTGCACAGATACAAAACTTAGGTACTAACTGAAGAAACTTTTATAGAAGCGACTCCTTCTCATTTAATATTCTCTTATGGCCAAAGAAAGAAGGAACCATAGGACTTGACTACAAGTTGTGTTGGGCCTTAGGAAGGTTTGTGCGTTGGCTCTGCCTGTCCCCTCGCTGTCCCTTCCCTACCTACCGTAGATGACCTAATGCTGCTGCACAAGGACCTGGAAGACACCTCCAGGGCTCAGTCCCCTGTGTCAGTCCCCGTTTACATACAGTGTGCAGTCTGTCCTGGAGACAGGGCCTCTGAGACCAGCCTCTTCGAAGGCTCATTACCAGGTGGCTTCAGCTCCCGGTGAGGGCAGCCTTGGGACATTGCATCCCAAGCGCATCCCAGACACAGGAACCCAGGGTGAGGGAAAGGGGTGGCAGGTGGTGGCTGCAGCTGTTACGGCCACGTCCTGGCTCCTGGCCTGGAGTCTCCACCTGGAGGGATGCTCCACTGTGGAGTGTCTGCTGGGCACAGTTTGGGGTGGGCCTTGTGAGTCGCGTGCCGTGCTGAAGTGTGAGAGATGAGCGCACAGAACGCGGAGTTCACGGGGTTCACGGGACCGTGCCGGCTCTGCAGCAAGGTGTTTGGTCCTGGTGTCCCCAACATGGTTGGCGGGAGAGCTTTCAGGGAATGGCCTTGTCCAGCACGCTCCTGTCCAGGTGCTGTGGCCACAGCCACTCAGGGCGGCTAATGCTGCTTAGAATCCAGGCTCTTGCTAGGAGCCCCTGCCCCTTCCTCCTAAGCAGGCAGGAAAAACTGTGGTTCCGCTGGGCTGCGGAGGGGCAGGGATGGGCCAGGGGTCAGCACCGGCTCTGCGAGCTCTCGTCAGCTCCGCCCAGGCAGGGCAGCTCGAAGGCTGTCCTGGGCAACGTATGTTTTCAGCATCCACAAGTCCCCAGTCTGTCTATGACGTGGCCAGCACCTAGGATCAGGCTGTGAGGCAGACCGAGGCTGAGACCAGTGTGGGCACTCCCGGATGAGCGGCTGCAAGAGAAGCCAAAGAAAGGAGGGTGGCCCTGCTGGGACAGTCCAGGAGCCCCACATGCGCTCCCGTCCTGCAGGGACTTGCAGAGCTCCTCCTTCTTGGGGGAGGGCGCCGCGTCCCCACTGGAGATGACCTCAGTGTTCATTTACAAGAACAGGGCCAGGTGACCCTGTGCTGGGCCAGTCGCAAGGGCCAAGAGGTGGCAGGCTGTCGGAGACCAGCTCCAACAGGGGGTCTCAGGAGACGAACGGATGGTGAGGAGTCGGCGAAAGGTGGGTGGAGAAACAACACAGACACCAAAATGAAGGTGCTGATCCCAATCTTTACTTGTGAAGTCGATCATATATACTTTTCATTTTGACAGGCTCACAGTACTTTGTGGTTACAAAACAGGAATCATTATTCAAAGAAACAAAATATTACGTAGCTACAATTAGAATAGAAGAATGTATCTTGGCTTACGCATAAGCAAGCATTTGTACTTTCAGTTCGCGTTTTGCTTTGAGCTGTTTCTGCTTAGTTAACTTTTAATAATAGTTAGAAATGCCCCAAACTATTGGCCTATACCTTGACTATTCTTTCTTGACTTACTGACTGGAACCGGTGCCATGGTTATGGCAAGTGGTTGACTTGTTATTAATTTTAATCAAACAAGAGTAAGAGCACAAACCATTGTGCACAGGAACAAGAACAAGTAGCCCAGTACCAAGCACTAATCTGTCTTCTTAACATTAATTCTTCTTCTCTAGATTTTAATTTAATTTCTCAAAAACTTCCTTGACAGGAATACAGGGAGTTTTTCATTAGACATTAACAATTTACGCTCCACAGCTGAATCATTGCATTTAGAGCAAACAGATCCATTCTTTAGAAGTAGTTGCATTAATTGGGAAAGTCATGTTTTTTCCTTCATACTTCACGGTCATATGAGAAGTCGCAACTGTACTTATTAAAGGAATTCAAAAACAAACCAGCCCATTCCCAGAAACATGCTGCGCTCCTCCGAGGATGGACGCCTTGCGCCATCCACCTCAGTAGGGCCTTGCCATTGCCTGGGTCAGGGGAGGGGCACAGTAGCAGGCCCTGAAAGACAGACCTGAGGGTGGACACGCGAGTCAACAGGAGCAGGAGGACACAGCCCTGGGAGGAGGCCTGGCCTGCTGGGCTCTGAAGGACGCCCCTGGGCAGCCTGGGCAGCCTCGTGACGTCCTCAGGAATCCCGCCGGCCCTCGGGTGGCCCACGGAGCTCTCTGCCATCCAATGTGGGCTGCTTCAAGTGTTTGGGATAGACTGCGGCAGGCTGGGTCTGCAGACTGGGGCAGAGCCCAGGGGCTGCCTGTCCCGGATCTCTGCAGAACTCAGGGCTGGCTTGCTGTTCCCTTCGGGGCTCTCACCAGACGAGGCAGCAAGCCCTCCCACCTGTCTGTGTTTACCTTTCTTTAAAAGGTTTGTATTTGTTCATCATGGATTGTTTTACATTCATTTTAATCTTTAAGAATATTGCATTAAGCTGGGCATGGTGGCCCACATCTATAATCCCAGCAGCTTGGGAGGCTGAGGCAGGAGGATCACATGTTCAAGGCCAGCCTCAGCGATTTATTGAGACCCTAAGCAAATTATTCCCTGTCTCAAAATTTTCAATAAATAAATAAATAAATAGGTTGGGGACGTGTCTCAGTGGTTAAGCACCCCTGGACTCAATCCCCAGTACAAAAAAAAAAATCCAATTATTGCATTAAATGTGCCTTTGAAACCCCTGAGGCCTCAGCCTCCCCTGACTCTGCACCAGCCCTCTGCCAGACACTGTAACCGCACATACATGCAGAAGGAGAGCTGGCAGCATCTCCAAGCAAACACTACCTTTCAAAGAAGGCCCTCGGCTGACCACAGGAGCAAGGTGCTTGTGGATGGTTATTTTGTCCTGGGAGCCCAGAGCATGCCATCGCTGGAGCCTCCACCAGGCATAAATGTAACGGCCACCCACCCAGGTGAAGCTGAGCCAAGCAAGGGGAAGAGGAGGCCCCAGGACTGCTGTGGCCACAGGGAAGGACGGGCGGGGAAGTAGGCAGACGTCCCTAGGCTAACGGAGAGGTCCCGCCAACCTGTGACATCCTCAAAACTGTCCTGAGTGAGAATCACACATGAGGTGCTTTCTGACACTGAAGCCCA